GTAGCCCTCAAATTATGCTGGGGTTAGGTTCCCGGGGGAATGGTTGTAAATAGAAACTGATGTAAATTGAAACCCAGTATATAATGTAAGTCAATGGGAAGTGAGGGAGTTACGTTCCAAACCTTCCTCAAAATTGACATAAGTAATAAAATACAGGTACATTATATTTAAAGCTGCTGAATAAGCTCACACGAGACTCTTTAAATCAAATGTATTACATTACTTATATCAATTTATGTCAATGAGAGAGGCTTGGAACCTAACTTCCTCACTTTCCACTGACTTACAATATTTAGTGGGTTTCAGTTTACACCAGTTTCTATTTAGAGCCATTCCTTATTTTGAGAGAGGCCTGGAACCTAACTCCCTCATTTCCCAATGGCATACATTTGATGCTTTGGTGTTCAGTGACAACACTAAATTTGATTTGGGGGGCAGCCGAGTGAATAACCAAGCCGAAATGAAGGCTATTCACTTCAGCTGTACATCAGCTAAAATCAGACGTACATCGGCTGCCTTCGGTCAGTCGAACATGTCTTCTAACAGGTCCCAGGTAATAAATAACAACTGGGCAGAGCCAGCCATGACATTACGGCCGGCTCCGCTCAGTTGTTATTGTTTAATGACAAGATCAGTGTCCCCCGGTCATTTGGGGACGCTGATCTGTCATTACAACTGGGCAGAGCCAGCCATGAGATCACAGCTGGCTCCACCCAGCTGTCATTTGCATGGAGATCGGTCGGCTTCGGCCAAACTTTCTCCGCGCTTCGCCTGTCACTATGGCTCAGCCGAGCCGAAGCATATGGGTTCAACTCAGCTGAGACGCTCGGCTGCTGCACGGGCTATTATGAATCGAAGCCGAAGCGAGCCGCAGGATCAACCGAAGCTACGGCTGGATCCTTCAGCTCTGTAGCGAATAACTCTCTTAATGTTCAATGTGTTATAGCACATTTTCAACAGAAAATGTATAAAACAATTATCACATATTACAATAAAAAAAATTACATTAAGCCCTGCTGTCCAAAAAAACATGCCCTTTTCAATGTTCTCCCTGCTTTTTTCTACTTCTGTAAGAAAAGTTTAGCCTATCAATATCTGTATTATAAATAATGAGTTTTAGATCATATTATTAACTAAGGCATTTCTGTGTTATATGTGGGAAAAGGAAAGCCTGATCAAAATTGTGGAAATTTTTAACTTGATATGAAACAAAACAGCTTACTAAAACAGCTTACCAAAACTTCCGAGCAACTATTCTCTTTTGCAGTCCATAAGATACTGCATATTGTATTTTTACCACCAGAGGGCTCACACAAATATTTCTATGTTTATTTCTTTATTGTGCCACTTCTTAAAATCTTTTAACTGGAAAAATGTTCCCAGCTTCCATTAACAGTTTTGTGTCTTTATTTTAAACATATTTACAATATTTGGTTTTCCTCTAAATTTGTTTCTGCTTGTACTATTTCAATACCCTTTCACTCACTATGTAAATACCTTTAAACTATGTAAATCTGCAAAGCAGATGTCCTAATGGCCAATTAAATTTTTTTAAAGATGTGTATTCAATATGTTTACAATCATACGCTGTATTTGTACTCACAGCTTTTATGCTAGTTGTGCATGAAAGTCAAGTTATTTCAGTCCAGAGTCCAGTTATTTGTTTTGACAAATGCGCAGTAGTGCCTTGCAGTGTCAGCTGCTTTGAAGTGGAGTACTGTAAGACAATTAAGACAGAAGTCCTGGTAGATCCTCATGCATTCAAAGATGGGACTGCTAGTGTTTGCATTCCCACACCTGGCACGGTCCCTGTTTGATTACTCTGACTCAATTGGCTGGCTTCTGTGTAGAGAAGCAATCAGTCAGCAAGTTAGGCCTGGTTCCCACCTAGGCATTTTTGAGCAGTTGGAAAAGCGCTTTTACACGCCCAACACAAGAAATCCCATGATTTTCAATGGCCCCTGTACACACCTAAGCAGCAAAACGCTAGATTCCAGAAAAGGTGCATGAGCTTCTTTGGGCGATTAACAGCGCGTTTTTGCCCTATAGACTTTAATGGAAAAGCCCGAAAACGCGTGGCAGAAGCATGTTGCACATTTTCGTGCGCGTTTTTGTGCATTTGTACAGTCCAGAAACGTCACCATTAAATGTAAAAAAACCAAAACAATTCCATGACACACACTTGTCATTCAAATGCCAAAGTTTTCAGGGCCTCACAGGGTCCCCTTCATTATGCTCAAAATGACAGAGTATCACATGAACCACACCACTTAAATAGGCAAACCAAGTGAGAAAAGACAACAGAAACTCCAACCCATGTGATTACAATTTCCCACCAAACAAATTAAAAAGCATCAGCACCAGCATGTGGATGCGAAGAGCGTGCACCGCTGTCCCAGCAGTTAGCTGCTCTCACAGCAGCCCATTGTTGTGGTAACAGGACGCTGAATCAAAGAGAGCTAGCTCCGCCATGTCCACCAGCATTTTCACCGTGTGGAATGCAGGGCGCTTCCTCTAAGTGGCTATGAGCGAAGGGCTGCTGTTGATGTTCTGCATTTGTACGCGCATTGGTCCACTGCCCACAATGCTTTTTAAGCTGCCAGTCAAAACACTCGTCTTCATGTACCCGCGTAGAAACGTGCATCGAAATGTGCAAATAACCGCATGCTAAATAAGCACGTACAAACGCGCAAAAAACTTTGCTGTCTCGGTGTAAACCTGGCCTACGAAGACAGGCCAGACTATTAATGTTCCACCATGAGATAAGCGTTTCCAGCAGAAGTCTCAATTTCCACTTCTTTTGCACACTCCCATCTCCATTGACATCAATGGGGTATGTTTGGCCAAGCAGAACATTCCTGTTCATGGACCCACCACAGAACATTGTTGGAACTTGGATTGTTCATGCATGTCTAACTACCCTTGAGTATCTTTAATGTCAAGACAATGGCACTGGTTTGAATGTACGTAAGCAAACTGGGAAATAAAACAGCAAAACGTGCTGATAGTGTGTTTACAACTAGGGCACTTTGCAAAACATTTTACTTAAGTTAAAGACTGAGGTCCAAGGGATGTTCCTTCAAACAAGTGGTAGTTGTGGAGTCTTGGTCCCAACTCATACTTTCTACTATAGATAGATAGATAGATAGATAGATAGATAGATAGATAGATAGATAGATAGATCTGTATGCAATGAAGCGCAGCTCTCTTAACCCGAGAACAAAAAAATAACGTAACATTCAAATTAGAACGTTTTGCTGTTGTTTTGTATGGTTACAGAAATTTTGGAATAATATTTAGCAGGAAGCAAGGTTTATATCTATGTTTAAAACAATCCTTTGCCCTTACTTAGGAGCTCTACAACAACTGTGGGCCATGAGGCTTGTAGAATTTAAGTGCGCTACCCACTAAAAACAGTGTTTATATCACAATTTCAGCAAACTTTAAGGAGAACTATGAGGTGAGTGATTTCCACTCATCCTCATAGTTAGAGCCGACCTGTGACAAAGAAGCTGTCACAGGTTGGGTCTATTGATCGGGAAGTGAGCAGAAACATGCACGATCTGCTCACTTCTCGATCGTCTCCCTGCAGTGAGTAGTGACTGTCAGTCACCACTGCCCGCAGGGATTCCCCCCCCCCTCCCCTGTCCGATCCTCCAGTGCTGAGTGGAGAAACGGACGGGGAGGGGGAGGGGGCGGGCACAGCTGTCACTCAAGCAGCTGGGTGGATCTCGACAGTAATGTCGGGATCCGTCCCGGCTGCGGCGCTCACAGTATATCGCAGGCAATAGCCCGCAATATACTGAGCTTTAGGTCACGGGTGGTTGCTAGTATATGTCCCCCCGTGACCCTAAAGAGAACTATGGGGAAAAACACTTACCCCATAGTTCTCTTTAATAAGCAAAAGACAAAGAGCCTCAGGTATGTTCCATGTACAATGCAGTACTGATTTTGAACCCTTTAATACTAATTGTTGACGATATACTACAGTTTGCAAAGTTGACCATAGTACACAAAAGGGTTGTATTTATAACACAAATGGGCTGTTCACTGTGCAAGGGAAGTTGCCCCTTAGTTTAGTGAATGAGGTGAAGTTCTGCTGACTTCTATCACTCAATCATGTGCAAGCAAAATACTGTTTTTTTTTTAAATGTTCCTTGCACATGATCGGGTATTTTTTGCTAAGTGACATTTCATCACATTCACCAAGGTAAGGGGAAGCTTCCCCTGCAAAGAGCAATTTTTCTTGCACTGTGGGTAGCCTATTTGAC